CCGCTCCATCCCGTGAACGAGTCAACTGACGCCCTCTGTTTTTTCCCCACAAGAGGTTTGGTTGTTCTCACCAGGTATTGGCCCTCGAGACGGCTGACGCGCCTTTAGTTGTAGTCAGAGTTCATCGCCGAGTGGGGCAGAAGAGGGCCACGTACTCAATAGATCCATTGCCAACTTGAGGGTTTTTCTTTTCGGGTTTTTCGAAGACGCACTGTGTTCCGCTCAGTTGGCATCGGCGACAGGGTGCCTAAACGAGACAGACATGTGGGGAAAGGCGAGTGGGGAAAAAACAGAGGGCGTCAGTTGACTCGTTCACGGGATGGAGCGGGGCAAGACACGAGAGGGCGAGCTAATCAGGAGCTCCAAGAGCACCAAAATACGATTACTATCAAGAGCCAGGCAGGGTTGAGAACGGGCCGCTCGATGGCGAACGGCCCGCGAGGACTGTGTGCGGGGGTGAAGGGAGGGGGTTCACAGTGGAGGCTGGAGTAGACGACGAATTCGCGCGACGAACCTCTCCTTCGCATCTATTTTTGCCTTTCCTGCACGCTGTACAAGCTCGTGCACCTCTTTTTGGGATGCTAGCTTGCTGGATAATGACCGAGTTGGCTTGGTTGCTCATCAGCTGACCGTTTCCGGGTACGAGAGAGTTGTTTGGGTTCATGTTGGACGCTATAATTTGTTGATTTGAGGTGCCAGTTGGATAGGAATTAGTAGACATTCTTCTCCTTTTCGATGGTGGATATTCGCCTGAAGACGTTGGGGATGACATGGGAAACCAAAAAGGAGACTGAGTTTCGCGACGAAGTCCCCGGGTCACTTTGCTCAGAGGAACTTCTGGACCAGGCGACCTATGCAGACGATCCAAAACCATTCCACGTGATTGTTCAAACGATTCGTAGCGCGATTCCATCCCAATTGGTCTCGCGCGCGTAGTGGAGGGTAGTGGTGTGTATGTGTATACGCTCGCCACTCGCGCACTGGGGTTATAAACCGGTGATGATGCTCGATGGTTTCGCGGAGTATCAAGAAGCACACTCCGAGAGGATTTAAAGCTTGTTTGTATCGCCTTCGTTGCGGTGAAATAGGTCGGCAGGGCACCAGCTGTCAGAAGTTGGGTGCACTTTTCTCTTTTATTTTTCTTGCTACCACAGCATGACCACAAGAAGAGAATAACTCAGAATTAAAATGTACTGAATACAGTTTATTGGCACGAAGCGTGTGCAGGTGTGAGACTACTTCACGGTTCCTCCTATCAATCGATGTGCCAACGCCCCTTTTTCCCGCTCTTGCCATCAGTTTTTTGTACTAACGCGCGATCTCCCGACATCACGCTTGAATGGGTGGCCCCCATTGTCCATGAAATGCACACCCATGATCCGTATAAACTACGCAGAAGTAAGTAACCCCACCAAGTACCTCACGATTTTTCCGGCTGACGGGACCAATGGCGTTGCGTGCCGCCTGATTGGATTTCGCCCTAGATCGCCAACGTAGCCCTCTTCCTGGCTTCCGGTGAGTCCTCGCTCCCCCTCCCCCCCCTTC